GGTGGGTGGGGGGGGGGGGGGGGGGACAAAACTAATTATTTGTCATTAATTAGTTTGATTAAAAGGAGCTTACACTTTTGAGGTGAAATAAGAGCCATACATATTTTTGACATGTTTGCTGAGATTCACCCGTCTACCAATGATCTCATGTTGGATAATGGCCATATTTTCAGTGCTTGGGACTAATCAGATTGTGGTCTGAACAGACACACTGGGTGCACTTTCCTGTTTGTAACATTATGATCAGTGAGATAGAAAAGATGATGGAGCACATAACAGGAAGTAAAGATAATATGGAGCCTTCAGTATGTGTGCATTAGAGAGGAAAATTGATTTTCCAGTAATGAACCTGTAAAGTTCAGCAGAGAGCAGGAAGTGTCGAAACCAAATACAATACAGGCAAGACTATTCCATCTGATTTCTGAGACAGACAGACCTCACAGTGGAATGGACTGATAAAAAATTCATTATTAGAGACAGTGAGAACAGGAACAGAATGAAAGAAACAAAGAACATAAAATCAGTAAATGTGATCAAATAAATCAATGAATGAATGTAAACTTTGCTTTCATTGTCTGATTATAATATTGACTGTTAACTGAATACAGTAAATGTTGACATTGTAAATATCAAGACATAATGACTGTTTTATTATGATACTTCAGCCATCGAATGCACAGAACCACTGCTATTAAAAAAAGCAAAATTTTCATTTTTCAAAAACCTGTACAGGAAGCAACTCCGAACACCTTAGCAATCACTTGCAACACTCTAGCAACCACTCTGAGTAACCTAGTAAACACCTAACAACGAGCCAAAACACCTTAGAAACCACCCAGAAAACCCTATCAAACACTCTGAACACCCCAGCAACAACCCAGAACACCTTAGCAACCACCCAAAACACCCTAGCAACCACTTAGGAACCTCACCACAACACCATATCAATTACCAAGAATGCCCTATCAACCACATTAGAAGAAACTAATCACCCTACCAACCACCCAGAATCACCAATCGAACACCTAAACACATTCCAGAACACCCTAGCAACCATCCAATGCACTGTAGCAACAGCCCAGAACACCTTGGAAATCACCTAAAATACCACAACAACAGCCTGGCAAAAACCCAGAACACCATAACAACGACCAAGAACACCTTAGCAACTTCTCAGAACACCACCCTAGCAACAAACTAAACACCCTTCCAACCACCCTGAATGCATTAGCAACAACACCATAAGAAACACCTACAAACCACCCAAAACACTGTAACAACAACCCAGAACACCTTAGAAAACCTAAACACCGTAGCAACAACCCAGAACATCCAAATAACTGTCCAGAACACCCTATAAATCACCAGCACACCCGAACCACCCAGAAAACCCCAGCAACCACTCAAAACACTGTAGCAACAAGCCAGAACATCATAGCAAGCACCCAAACACTGTAGCAGAACACCTAAAACACCACAGCAAAAACCTAGCAAGAACCCAGAACACCTTAAACATCTAAAGACATTCCAGAACACCCTATCAATCACCCAGAACACCTTAAACACCTAAAGACATTCCAGAACACCCTAGCAACCACCAAAACACTGTAACAACAATCCAGAACACCTCAGTAACCACCTAAAACACTGTAGCAACAATCCAGGGCCCCCAAATAACCACCCAGAACACCCTATCAATCACAGCACACCCTAACCACCCGAAACACTGTAGCAACAATCCAGGGCCCCCAAATAACCACCCAGAACACCCTATCAATCACAGCACACCCTAACCACCCGAAACACTGTAGCAACAATCCAGGGCCCCCAAATAACCACCCAGAACACCCTATCAATCACAGCACACCCTAACCACCCGAAACACTGTAGCAACAAACCAGAACAACCTAGCAACCACCCAAAACACTGTAGCAACAACCTAGCAACCACATAAACACTGTGGCAGAACACCTAAAACACCACAGCAACAACCTAGCAAGAACCCAGAACACCCTTTCAATCACCCAGAACACCTTAAACACCTAAAGGCATTCCAGAACACCCTAGCAACCACCAAAACACTGTAACAACAATCTAGAACACCCTAGCAACCACCAAAACACTGTAACGACAATCCAGAACACCTCAGTAACCACCTAAAACACTGTAGCAACAATCCAGGGCACCCAAATAACCACCCAGAACACCCTATCAATCACAGCACACCCTAACCACCCAGAACACCTTAGCAAAAACCCAGAATGCCCTATCAACCACCTAGAACACCATATTAATCACCCATAATACTCTAGCAAACACTTATAAACATCCCAGAACACCTTAGCAACAACCTAAAACACTGTTAACCACTACCCAGCAACAGCCCAGATCCTAGCAACCACATAGGAACAACTCAGAATGCCCTAGCAACCACCCAGACGGCCAAAGAGAATTGGTACAAATGAGATTGTCAGGAAATCTAATTTACATCCAGAGGAAAACCCATTTATGTTAGTCGCTTTGGATAAAAGTGTCTGCTAAATTAAATGTATGTATGTCCAAATTATGATAATTGATTTACGCAGAATGGAACCCAATTCTGATTAGAAAGAAATGATCGCTTGCTTATATTACTTGGGTAATAGCAGTATAAGTGTAATTTGTTAAACCACGTACCCTTCACATCAGGTAATTGAAATTAAATGTTAATTCATATGTAAAGATGTCTTAGTCAATCTCCAGACACTATGGTTTGACGTCACGAAACACTCAGCTGTCCTGCAGCTGTTCTTCATACTGCTTGACATCTGTTCCAATAAAAACAAGAACAAACCACTGAATGAGAGAGTCAACAAATAAAGACACATTAAAGTGTTCCCTTCTCTCGAGTCAAATTTCTTCATATTTGCATTTATTGTCATTTCTTTTCGGACATTTTATCTCCATTGACTGTCCTAAAGCCGTTGAGATTACATTACTATTTATAAAAATCTACTTCACTCTATTATTTACAGTTCATAATTTTTGTTTAATCATCACTTAATGTAAAAAAACAAAAAACAATCTGAGCTTAAACTGTTAACAACTTCTGTAACCCAAGCTTTTCCGTGTGGAATCCAATACTCTGGGAACACCGGCTGACCTAAACTACAAGATTTCCATTAAACCAGTTCCTTTCATTGTTCAAATGTGATTTATATGGAGATCAAATACAAGTACAAGGAGAAACATGTTTTATGAAGAACATGAGACACAAAAATGCCTAACAAGAAAAAAGAGAGGTTTTGACTGTCAGACAAATTGCCACTGTAGGGGCATGGAAAAATACACCAACACTGCCAGTAATGAACTTCAATGCGCGTATATTACGTGTGTATATAAATACACTACCTCAGTGAATCAAAAGTGAACACAACAACCAGTGTAGTATGATTCCTGAAAAAATATCTCTTATTATGACTCTCTCTATTGAATCAAAAACATACAGCAGCATCAGTGTAGTCTGATTCCTGAAACGAATGAATCTTATAATCTGGTTCTTTTTAGTGAATTAAATGCATACATTGCAACAGTGTTGCCAAGTCCGTGGTTTTCCTGTTTTACTTTTTTTTAGTCCACGGGCAGTGTTGGGGGTAACGCATTACGATGAACACCGAAACATCTTGTCATTTCTTTTTATGTAGTCCAGTGATTTTAAATAAAGAGTTTGTTTGGGATATCTTTAATTTTTCCTTGTCAGCAAAATTTCCTTTTAAGGTCACCAGCAGTGTTACAAGTAACGCGAGTTACGTAATCGATTACTTTTTCCAAGTAACGTTAACTAGTAAAGTAACGCATTACTTTTTAATTTACAAGAGAATATCTGAGTTACTTTTTCAAATAAGTAATGCAAGTTACTTTTTTTATTGATTGACAGCTCTCCCGCCATGTTGAGAGAAATCAGAAGATGTTACTGTAGTTCTAAAATAAATATGAATATGCATTAATTCATCTCACTCAAAAAAAAAAAACAAAACCAAAAAAAAACAGATTCAGTATTCCTCAAAATGAATAAAAATAATGCAACTCAGAATATGACGCAAACCTGCAATAATTAAATGTTAAACAACACAAATGTCCTTTATGTATTTAATCCCATTCTATTAACCAATGTCTTTGCTTCTGACCTTCGATGATCCAGTTCAACCGTACTAATAAGCAAAAATACTCTAGACAAACATTTGTGTGTCTTTTCAGCCCTCTACGGACACCTTGGCAATTGAACTGTCGAGTAAAATCGGAGAATTTTTTAGCAATTGGCTAATATTAGACATCATTTAGTCGCCCAGAGTGAAGATTTAGTCGCATATGCAAAAGATTTACTCGCAATGTAGAGGGTTGCTTTTTTTATTGCTGAAGTGTGTTGAAATTTCTTCTTCTGCATTCTACTGTCCGGACGTAAATTGACTTTCCCTTCAGCCTGAGGCTTATTCATTTCACTTTTGGTGTGAAAAGGCTTTTATATTTGCCAAAAGTAATAACTTTTTTATTTTAAAACAAACAAGCAAGCCCTGTGCAGATTTAAAAAGTAACACAAAAGTAACGTAACACATTACTTTCCATAAAAAGTAACTAAGTAACGTAATTAGTTACTTTTCTATGGAGTAATGCAATATTGTAATGCATTACTTTTAAAAGTAACTTTCCCCAACACGGTCCACGGGTTGACGCAAAATACCCCACCCCGGCCCGGAACGCAATTTCGCGTGCGGTGGACCCCCAGGAAGGAGGTTTTGACCTCCCCGGAATGTGATTGGGCTAGTTTTGAATACCAGTTGGGCTGGTTTTGTTACTCAGACCTGGCAACCCTACATTGCAACTTATGTGCAAATTATGCACATCGTGATTTATTTTGACTGTAGTATTTTATAAAATTAAATGAAATATGCTACTGCAATTGTTTATTGTTTAGCTTGTTTTATTAAGTATTAATTATTGAATGTATTGTTAAGTCCAGTTACTGGATTGCATTTATTTTGCATCTAAAAAGTACGTTTATAAGTATTATTTTAAATCGATTTATTCATCAATTTGTATTTATTGTTCTGTTTATTAATGCAATTTTAATCTTTTTTAATGCTTATTAGCTCTATTTAACTTTTTGAGAGTCCGAAAGGCATTTTATAAATTAAAAATGTATTATTATTTGTTTTATTTTTTTCCCTCAAGTACTAAAAGAATCGTTAATGCACCATTTAAGGACTTACAGAGTAATCTGAAACGGAACCATTAACGCCAGTCTTTAACAAATCACTGTAAGGAATGGCCTGTCATGGTGTATTTGCTTTATACATAAGAGCCCAGCATGATGACACACAACATATGGTACACATGATAATAAAAGTATATAACAAAGGCGTGTATTTAAACAGCACACATACAAAATGTCAATCAACCATCACATTTAAATTTAAAGGGATGCGCAAAGATAGTCTTCAAACATGGGTGGGATCGGTGTGTGATCCTATAAAGAAGATAAATACATACACGTTTTGTTTGAGAGTGTCACTTTCGATGGGAAAGTCGAGTGGAATACTCACTCTGTTGGCTGGGCCACCCGCCGGAGCCCCCTGACGAACCGGGCCTGCTGCTGCTCTGCTGGGGCTCGCTGTTGGAGAACTGGGGGGCCAGCGGGGGAAGACGAGGCCTGCCAGTACTGCCTGCGTCATTGTCAGGGGTGCGAGGAATCTTTGGCTGGCTTGCAAAGCCTACGTTCTGGCCACTAGAAAGGAGAGAACGAAAGAGATACTACTACCTTTACATTTAAAATTTGCCTTTGTCTAGTGCTGCTCAGTGACTAGCAGACTCCTTTGAATCCATTTGCATTTGCTTCTCAATCAAATGTATCTAGTTGAAGGATTTATTTTTTTACATTTTACTGTAAAACAAAACAAAACTACTTATCAAGAATATTTTAGGGCTCTTTTGTTTGTATAGAAAGTTAAGCGAAAAATACAGAATGGCATCTTAGCTTAGTATAAAACTGAACGTTAACATGACAATTTACACAAGTCCAATTCTCAAAATGTACTTTAATTTACTTTACTGATCCCATGTGGAAATGTTTTCAAAGAATGAGGCGAGAAATATATTATTTGTAGCTTTCTACACAATAGTTTATGTATTTCTCATATTCCAAACTGTTTTCTGTTAAGCCCAAATTATACTTTTTTATTAGGTTTTGTTGTGAAACTCTTAGCACCATCATCTAGTGGCCGTGCTACATTTTCTCTAGTAGTTATGAGTGATAAAAATGTCTTTGTACGCATTTCAACTAGAATTATGAGGATATCTATTGTTGCTCTGTCTCATACGTTTCTTTTGTGACTTTGAAACAATGGGCCTGCTACCAAATAAAAAAATTAAAAGGTAATTGCGACTTTATTAAACTCAATATTCTGACTTTTTTCTTGCAAATACGTTTTTGTTTAAAACCACAAGACGCAAGGCAGTGGAATAATGCAAAAAACCTGCAACTTACAGCGATGTGTTTTTTAAAAGATGAACTCTTAATTTGAGCAACAACTTTTTAGAAGGTGTTGCACTTGAGACGCTACAAAAGGCGCAAGACACAAGCACACTGGTCAAACGCGTCCATCTAGCGCATGTTTACATAGAAAAACAATAGAAGTGGAAAAACGTTTTCTCTCTGAACGGCCCCTTAGACAAGTTTGCGTTCTTATATTTACATGGTTCAGGCCTTACAAAATAAATGAGACAATGGAGGATTCAGCTCACACACTGGATTTGGCAGTTTTCTGCTGGATGAGGGTGAAATTATAGCTTTATACAAGAAAATGTGATGCACGTGTGTTCACAGGGTTATTACATCCACGGGGCTCCAGGAGTCAGGGATTTGGGAAGGAAGGGACCTGAATCAGCCCTTTGTTTAGCAGTTGTTTGATTCTCATGAAAAAGTCTGTCCTGCGGCATTGCTGACTCAAGGTTCGATGCCTCGCTCCCACCCCCAAATTCCTCTGGTCTCTCTCCAGCTCGCTGCCTTCCAAAGCCAAGTTACAGCCAAGTTATGACACGCTTGATAACACTGGATCCTGTGGACCCTTACATATTAGATATGCCTTGCCACAGTGAGCATAGAATGTCGCACCTGGACCCTTAAACCTCTTGTTAACATAACACTGCTGTGGAAGATGTTGGGCTAAAAATACACGGAATGGGCAGCATACCCACCTGTACGAGTGGCCATTGGTGTTGTTCTGGCCTGGCTGAAGTACGTGTCTTTCGGGGGACCCCGTGAGTCCTGATTCCACAGAGGAACGCCAGCATTCCGAATCGGAGGCTGATTGGAGAAAAACCAAAAGATGTCAAACAAACACACACACACATCTCACACGTGGCTGACATCATTAACACACACACACGCCACAGTGACGAACAGAGAGTTGTTCACTTTCACAAGGAAATGCAAAGTGGTCTAGGAGACATGTGCTATATGGTTTCTGTTCGTATGGAAATTCAGGAATGGCTGACAACAGAGAAAGTCAGTGAGATACATGAAACAGGTGCCCTATAATTTTGATGATTCAACATAGCTGGTACTAAGACAATTTTATAGATTGAGGGTTTTTTACAGATATGTTGTGAAGCTTATTTTTATAACAATGTTCAATAATTTTTTTAATATTATTGCACACTATTTTTGGTGTTTGTAGTTGCAAATCCAATCAGATTGTGGAACCAGAACCATCCATTTTATGGTGCAATCCACAAAGAGTTTACAAATTGGCCCTTTTTTAAAGCACCGAAACAAACAAACCCCATATATGTACTTTTTTCACTGACCACATTTGCCAAGTTCAAGCATTCAGCCATGTTTCCAAAGTTATTTAAATGATCAAACATTCAACCTGTTCCAAAGTCATTAAAACAAACATTCAACTGTTACCAAAAGTAATTAAAACAACCAAACATTCAGCCCTGTTATCAAAGCCATTAAAACAATCGATCAAATACTCAACCTGTTACCGAAGTTACTAAAAAAGTTATTAAAATGATCAAACATTCAACCCAGTTACCAAAGTTATAAAAATTACCAAACATTCAACCCAGTTACCAAAGTTATAAAAATGACCAAACATTCAACCCAGTTACTAAAGTTATAAAAAATTACCAAACATTCAACCCAGTTACAAAAGTTATAAATAAAAAAAAGACCAAACATTTAAACCCATTACCAAAGGCATTAAAAATGATCAAACTTTCAGCTCTGTTTCTAAAATTAAAGATCAAATATTCAGCCATTACCAAAGCTAATAAAACAATTAAACATTCAACCCTGTTACCAAAGTTATTAAAACAGTCAAACACCAAACAGTCAACCCAGTTTCCAAAAATGACCAAACACTCAGTCCTATTACCAGTCATTAAAAATGATCAAACTGTCAGCTGTTTCCAAAATTAAAAATCAAATACTCAGCCATTACCAAAGTTATTAAAACAATCAAAGATACAACAGTTACCAAAATGAATAAAAAATGACCAAACATTCAACTGTTACCAAAATTTCCCCCCCCCCCTTAATTTATGTGAATTAAGTATATCAACAATTACCAATTAAGTCCTTCAAAATGATAGCTTGAATAAATCTATATTTGCAACCCTGTTACCCATTTGACAATTTACGCTAATTTTATTACATTTTATAAATCATTTATTATTATTATTATTATTACTACTACTACTACATAAAAAAAAAAATTACAATCACCCAAATCTGGGTTTTAAACTCTTTATAGATGTCCTAATTTTTCATAACAGGGCTGAATAAATAAATAAATAAATTAATTAATTAATTGCAAACCTGTTACATAAGAAAAAAAAAAGGAAAACACCTTGATGCAAATGAAAACATTTTCTACCTATGCACAGGAAAAAAATCTGAAATGTGACAACACATGTGCGACTAAGGCCGTGTGTTCACCAAAGCGTTTTTAGCCTGCTGAAAACACCTAGCTGTGAGTGATTAAGAGCGCTTCTGCGGCGCAGTGTTTTTTTTTTTTGAGTTGACATGCTTTGGTTGCTATAATACGGAATATCCACAGAGGTAATGTGGCAGACGCATCATGAATTAAATGTTGCAAGCATTATTTTTCACATCAATATTTGTAGTAGTCCAGAATCCCATCTGGTACAGACATGAATACTCGGGGACAAGAAATATTAACGTCTCCTCCATTATTGTTTAGTCTTAGTGGTCAGAGTGGTATTAGACCCGCCCCTCCTCCACTGTGATTGGACAGCTGACTAAAAAGTAACCGTGATGAGCACTGCTTTTTACCAACTCTCGATTCCAAGAAAAAAAAAAAACGTCAGAGCACTCAGCGCTCGTTACGCTGCTGGTGTTTTTAAAAACACGGCGCTCCTATTGAAAACAACAGAAAATATACGCTAGCCTCGGGAAAAAAAACTCTTTTGTGGACACACGGCCTAAAGCACTTCATATCTGGCTTTTTCTGATATCGTGCTTGGATGGAAGCGTACTCAGACAAACCCTCGCCTGCAGGCACTGAAAACCACATCAAAGTGATTCCATCAGGCTGTGCATTTGGAACGAGAGGACCATGAAAGCACAGTCCAGGCTAAGGGCCTCGGAAATTGAATCAAAATTGAATATTTATTAAAGATAGAACTGTAATCTCATCTTTATGAAGGGTTAGAAAACAATGACATCAGACATCAGCTAAAAAGGTTAAAAAAAGGTAAAAAAATAAAAGAAAATCTTTTTAAATTAAAAAGTTAATTTAATATTTGTCAGTTGACGGCACACGTACCCAGGGTTTGGTGGATGGATTCAGCAGTGCTGGGGCGGCTGCCAGTGCGAGTCGGTGGGCGGGAACTAAAGCGAGAGTGGGTGGGGCTATCTTCACTTCTCTGTCGGGTGACAGCGTAGACTCCATCACCACCAGCTCTGCGTAGGCAAATACACATGTACAAATGTACATTATCATGTCCAACACGCCAGATGTGTTTTAATTCAACTGCTAAAACACAGAAAATTCAAAGTTAGGAAATTCAGTTAATATTCCACAAAAATGTATTATTATTATTTTTTTACTGTTCAGTCTAACAATAGGTTCGTCACAAAAGACTCGGTATGGATTTTTTTATGTCCAAAATTTTATTTTAAAATAAAGGTACGTAATTATTGATGTTTATACATATCGTTTTGCTTGCATATATTGGCGCTTATACATTTTTCCTTGTGATAATATATATTTATATATCTTAGAAATATGTAATGGCAAAATGATGATTCCTCTGACTGGAAAAAAAGGTAAAACAAATACATCTATTATTACATAACTTACCTGCTTTCCCCCCAGCCTGAAATGCCTTTCATTCTAACTTTGTCTACTCCAAATTTCCTTTGGAGATTGTAGTATATATATTATCTTATCCATATAATTATCAAATTATTATATAATCCAAAAGCTTGGATAAATTAAATATCCAAATGCTCAAGTAAGTTCTCACCCAATCAAGGGCCTAATCACAATGTTGTGTTCTTTCATTCATAGCATTTTAAAGCACCAAGGTCAAAACAGCGAGAGTCACGCAACCAATTGTCTGCACTCATTCCCATCACTGATCCACAGGCTTCAGTAGAAACAATGAGGATAAATCCAACTGAGGATGGAGTCTTACATATCCTGCTTGCACTTTAACATTATTTGACTTGAGGGCAGAACTATTGACTTCTCCCCAGCGTTGATGACAAGGACAAAAATGAATACAGACACATTTGCACTTCTGCTGTGGGCGAGAGTCAACTGTGTTGATAGTATCTTGTATACTCATCACAAATTAAGATTCCTCTAATGACAACACTTCAATTTAGCAAAAAAGAATAAACAATTAGTGGTTACTATACCAACAAGGAATCAAACTAGTACACCTGCACTTAAAGTAACACGACATGCACATGAACCATATCCGGTTACATGTTAAAGGTCCCATATTGTACACCTTTCTGGAGTTTTATTTTAGGTTTTGATGTCCTTAAGAATATATATTTGCGGTATAAGTACCAAAAACCATCTCAATATATTTTTACAGCTTCTCTCTCAGGAGCTCTGCTGAGAACAGGTCGATTTTGGCCTGTCTAATTAATATTCATGAGCCTCTCTTCTGATTGGCCTGTTGTTTTCTGAGTGACGCACGGCCAGGCCAACCACAGGTAACTAGGGTCAGCCGACGTCACAGCGCTAGCTGGAGGCAGCAAAACAAAGGGGAAACTGGAGGCGGCCCATTCAAACCAGCGCAGATTCTGCGACCTAAGGAGCTTAAAATATCATCTTGTTGTGATGTTGGGTGCCAGAATCGACGTAATACAGCCTCAAATTAGAAATTTGATCGCATATCTGCTGCCACTGCCAGACAAAAAACCGACGACAGCTGTGGTTAAACGCCATAAAACGAGCGGACTGGACAGAAAGGATCGTCAAAAATGCTGGCGTTTGCAGCACACACTTCTTATAAGAAAAGGTTAAATAAAGTATTGTCTTTTGTTGTTATGGGCGCGTGTACATATTTCTTGCCATATGTCTATGTTTCTTGCATCTCACGATTATGTCGTGTATGAAATAATGTCTGTGTGCATGTGTGTAAAACAACAAACTGACGATTTATATATAATCATTTGTAATTGTATATACATTGTTGTGATTAATTGTGGCTGGAACAATAATGTAGCTGTAAAAATAGTTGCCTGCTGAAATTGAAATGTATATACATCTTCATCATGACTAGATAGACACGGTGAGTTTGTCTTTACTATACATGTTAGATGTGATCCACCTCATAGTAACAATCCTGTCAGATCGTCCATCCTTTGAGTGAGAGTGTAACGTTACAGGTCAGCCGATCTGGTTTCGTGGTTAAAGTTAACCCTTTCGACATGTTTCCGTGTTGTTGTTGTTGCTCAGCAAAAGCATGGACGCGATGTTGTCTGGGGGTTTGGCGAAAGGAGAGTGGGACGGTGGGCGGTGCTCGGGGTGGGGACTGAAGGCGGTGACTGTGTAGTTCTGACGTCAACTTTTTACGGAAGTCAAAACGGTTCGCGAAACATCACAGCTACTTTAAGCAGGCTGTGTGAATTTTACTGTGGACTGACTGTTTTGAAACGTATATGGTAGTTACATAGCACCTAGACCTCAGTTATCGTGAAAAAAGCCAGGAAATTTCAGTTTTGACAATATGGGACCTTTAAAACATAACTGCATTTCAGCGTTTGTTAATTTCATAAGAATTCTGACCAAGAGAAGAAGATTTCTGAATGATTCTAATGTTAATATGCGAGAATGTTTTTAAACTCCATTTTAAAAGTCACATGAATAAGAAGATAGGTTGACTTAATAGATTCCTTGGTGTGAATCTATAACACCATTCCACTATGTTAACCAATTTTAAGTAATGTGTAACGATTTTTTCGACATTTAAGTCACAAACAAGCATAAAATCGTTACTAAATAACACCAAATAGTCATCTTGATGTAACAGGCATTCAGAATGAGGTTCTTACATGGTGTTTTTGTGGGAGCTGGGCGTAACGGGCCGCTGGAGTGGCTCGTCTATGCTGCGAGATGATGGAGGATATGATCTCCTCTTCATCTTCACCATGTTGGTCATTATCTACAAAGCACCAGAGAGACGCTTATCATCTAAATGTCCAAACACATTGCAAACATAAATCACAAGAATGCCAACAGTTCGCAAATGAATCAGTCTTTTGATTTGGTTCATTTTAGTGAACAGGATGAACCAGTTCACCAAATTCAGTTGAATCGTCTCGAGCAGCACGGATCTACAAGTTACTCAATCAAAAGTCACTTTCAGACGCCTGACATTCACTCTGACTGGAAATGAGTCAAAATAGCAGTGTATCTGATCCTGTGATGAATGAACTGATTCAGCGCTCCAGTTCCTCCAACAGACACTGAACTGAGGAAACAGTTCGACTCCGAGTCGGACCCAAGGCCGATGAGCCGCTGATATTCACATGCGTGATCTGAACACTTGAATGAAGGGGCTACATGAAAGATTTATGCGTTCTCATTGTTTATGTGAAAAGGTGAGCTGATGAAGACTAGTGTATTCACTTTATATGCGGAAAACATCTGCGTTTCACATCATTATTGGGCGCTTTAATAATATAATTGCATTTACCTTATGTCAACTGTGTGATTACGTAAGTGAACTGGTGAATCGGTTATTTAAAGTTAATTGAAAAAGAACCAGTTTGTGGAAAATAATCAGATTTCCTGTTTGCCTGAGGCTCTGGATTACAGGTAATAATGTTGAAAATAATGTTCAGTTTCTTGCACAGACTGATGGTTTTGCTTCATAAGACCTCGATATATCATCAGGGGCCACGAGTATTAATTGTGTGTTGACTGTATATGCTTTTTTAACTCTCAAAAGTGCCGGTAGCCGCTGACTTGCATTTTATGAATCACCATGGACCATGGACTTTGCAAAATCTTCTTATATTTATCATTTAGAGCAGGGGTGCCCAAACTCGGTCCTGGAGGGCCGGTGTCCTGCAGAGTTTAGCTCCAACTTGCCTCAACACACCTGCCTGGAAGTTTCTAGTATGACTAGTAAGAGCTTCATTAGGTGGTTCAGGTGTGTCTAATTGGGGTTGGAGCTAAACTCTGCAGGACACCGGCCCTCCAGGACCGAGTTTGGGCACCCCTGATTTAGAGTGATGGTTTACCCCGAGATACTCTGTTGCCAGCAAAGATTCTCCGCTGAGCTCTTTCGGGTGAGGCTGCAGGACTTCCTCTTTATCTAGGTCTGCCTCCATAACATCTTCCTGTTAACAAGATGAAAGGATTAGATCAAAGGCCTGAGTGGTAAAGCTTTTGAAACCTGCCGATAAAATGCATGTCGCAGTGATAGCCTTTCACACAGATTATGTGAAATCATGTTGAGCAATAATCTTTCTTAGAAGACATGAACGAAGTGAATTACCTCGTCGTCGTCATCGTCATCCTCTTCACCATCTGACTCAGGTTCATGTTCAGAGATGTCCGCTGTATATGGCAGAATCATAAATGAACACAAAAGACTCAGTGAAATAATGACATAAATATGGGAAATAAACCATGGAATGCAACAGATGAATTTTTGAAGAATATCCTGGCAACTCTTTGCAATTCAGTGAACTTGAATGGTGACCAAAATGGACAAGCATCATAAATGCACTCACACAAATGACTCACACTCTTTGTTTATGATATTTTTATGGTGCTTTTCCGTTCCTTTTGAACCTGATAACCTGGTTCTCACTCACTTTCATTTTACTGAAAAAGGTGGCTAGGATTTTGAAAAAAAGTTATGTGGCTTAAACAGGGTGATGACAGATTTATTCATTTTTCCATTTCTAGATGAACAATTTCTTACTGCTTTTTTTGTCTTACCGGAGTTAAGCTGTTTGATGATGAATTCAATTTGTCTGTTGAGTTCAGGATTTTCTTCTTTACTGTAACAGCGTAAGATCTCCTCCATACTCTAAACACAACAACAAAATCCTCACATTATCTGTATTCTGTGATCGTAGCTATGGAGCACAACAGAGACCAATTTTCTTTTTTCAGCAGTCTTTGTTTCCTGCAGGATTTTTCTCATTCAGTTTCTCCATAGGGATTAAAAATAAAATAAAATAAAATCTTGCAAAAAAAACTAGCTTGGAGCAGAATCACAACACTTGACCTTTGATTTGAAGTATTTAAAAATCAAATAAGCGTGTGCCAAAATTATTTTAGTTGTCGTGAAGTATAACTAATGACAATTACAAGTCATTCATTGGTTATAAATATAAAAACAATATATTTAGTGTTAAATATTTATATATACACTGCCGTTCAAAAGTTTGCGGTCGGTAAGTTTTTTAAAATATATTTACTATTAATTTTTTTTTTTATATTAATATCATATTTTTAATTTTTAATATAATTTAATATTTTTGAATCTCTTCTGCTCACCAAGGATGCATTTATTTGTTCAAAAATACAGTAAAACAGTCTTCAGTGTCACATGATCCTTCAGAAAATAATATGCTGATTTGCTGCTCGAGAAACATTTCTGATTATTATCAATGTTGCAAACAGTTGTGCTATTTAAGATTTTTGTGGAAACGGTAATACACATTTTTTTTACAATATTCATATGAAATATAACTTTTTTGTTATATTATAAGTGTATTTACTGTCATTTTCGATCAATTTAATGAATCCTTGATGAAGAAAAGTATTAATTTCTTTAAAACATTTTTTACTGATTATATAAATATATAATACGTGTAGGGAGTGTAGTTTTGTTTGACAGTGACTTTTCTGATTTAACTTAAGGATTATGGGTAGTGTAGTGTTTCCTCTAGGAATTTTAAACAAACTAATAAAACATTTTTTTCTGAACAGTAACCTTCTGATTTGTTGCGTCATATATCGCTGTTTAACTTTGAAAGGTTTGAATGTGCAATGAATGGGATTTTTATTACTCATTGGAGTCGAGGCAATGATCCTGATGTTGTGCACCTGTGAATGAACCATGATTAAACACATACCATCTGTTTGGCTTCCTCTCGTATCTCTGGCATGGACAGGATGCTGTATAAAGCTCCATTCACATAGTACCGAATCTATATTTGCAAACATGAACACAAACATGCAATGAACATTTGAAACTTTGCATCTGAAACACTTTCATCCACTACCAGCCAAAGCTTAAACACACATCTTAAAATCATTTTGAACTAAACGTATGGTTATACAAGTTTTGCACACAATTATGACACTTTGTTTCATATTTGATTAACTTTGCATTGTTAATTGAACTGAATTAAATCAGAACTGAACTAAAGTGATCTAAATAATGGCACTATTGTCTTCTGTAGAGCTGCTTTACAGCAGAACTTAAAATTTGTTTTTTGTAAATTGTTTTATATCTGATGAATTTTGCAACATTAACACTGTTATATTCTAGTTTATTACTGTGAATCTGCTTTGAAACAATCTGTATTATATAAAGCACCATATAAATAAAAATGACATTTGTGTACAAATTTTTTGTTTTGTTTTAATGGGAATAGGACTGAATATCAAAGGAAAATCAAGGAATTGTATTATTATGACTTACAATATTGTATTGCTCTATTTTATTTCTTACACAACTATTCAAAAGTGTGAGGGAAAAAACAAACAAACAACCAAAAAAATCATAGGATGTTATTTACAGTATGTAACATAAAGTGATTTTTGCTGCTCCTACTAATCGGCTGGAAGCTAATCAAAAAATGTGAGGATTTTTTGCAATTTTTTTTGTAAATAAAGTTGATAATCTTCGGGCTCAGATTACCCCAGTGACAACTATTTGTTCGACCTATATCCAAATAATTTTTTTTGAAATTTTAAGAGAAGGTTGTTTTATCACAACTTGTTCCATACTTAGATGCGAATGCTGTTATAGATATGTTCCAGTCGGGTTTTAGGTCCCTTCGTGGTACAGAATCTGCCCTTCTTAAGGTTTTTAACAATATTTTATTGGCAGGTAGTATTCTAGGAAGGTAGTCATACTTATTCTGCTTGATTTTACAGCCGCTGTTGATACCACTGATCATGGGATTTTATTGCAGTGATTGGAAGATGTTGTTGGTATTAAGGGTACTGCCTTAGATTGGTTAAAGTCATATTTAAAGGTTAGGTCTTTTTCGGTTTGAATTGGGAATCTGTGCTCTACATCAGCTAAATTACATAGTGGTGTGCCACAGGGTTCTTTACTTGGGCCTATTTTATTTTCATTGTATATGTGCCCATAAGGCTCAGTTTTTCGTGAATAAAATATTATGTATCATCTATATACAGATGATACTCAGTTATATATTCCAATTGATCCAAAAGGCTCCCAATCCTTTGATGAACTTGTACAGTGCTGGGTTTTTACCAATTCAGACTTATTTCTAAATTGAAACCTATTCTCTCCTTTAAAGACCTAGAAATGTGTTATCACACTATGTGTTATTGACTACTGTAATTCCTTATATATAGGTATTTCTCAGGGTCAATTATCTGCAAAATGCAGCGGCCAGACTTTTGACTCGTACAAAGACGAGAGAGAGTATTACCCCAGTATTGGTCTCCTTACACTGGTTGCCAGTAAATTTCAGAATCGCGTTTAAGGTTCTATTGATGGTTTTTAAAGTGTTGCATGGTATTGCACCAAAATATATTGCTATGCTAACCTTTTGATACCAAAATACAAGGCATATGAGATCTTCAAGTCAGATGATTCTTGATGTTCCCAAAACTAGATTAAAATCAAAGGGTGATAGGGCCATTTTCAGTGGTTGCTCCTCGCTTATGGAACTCTCTTCCATGCATATGAAATCTTCTGTGGATGATTTTAAGTCTAGTTTGAAGATGCATCTCTTTAGTATGGCTTTAAGATCTGATTAGAGTGTACAGGATTTAATTATGTTTGCGTAGATGTATGTAATTGTTTATGTTGTATTTATTATGCTGGAAAGCACTTTGGCCAACGCCAGCGGTTTTAAATGTGCTACAGAAATAAATTTGTATTGTACTGTATTGTATGCTTGACCACAGCTAAACGTTACATAAACTCCAGTTTCTTTGTTGTAACAATTGTTTTGCTCATTTCTAATTTACATAAAAAACCATTAAGTTTAACATTGTTTAATAGTTTAATATTATTAATAGTTGATTGCACTATTAAGTTTTAGTTTTTAAATTAATTAAAAAAATTTATGATAACAACAACAAAAAAAGATATTTTTTTATTTTTATAAAGAATTTTTAAAGAGATAATAAATTTTTTTTTTAAAAACTAGTTTTGAGGTGCTGAGCAAATTCATTAGGGAGTGTAGGCTTGATTCTCCATTTCAAACGCTTCACAAAGGGAGTGAAAGACAAACTTTTAAAATCCAAAGTTAACAAAAGCGTTCTTTTTTGAGAATCGTCTGACGTAAAAAGGACTAAGCTAATTGTCGCCTTCAGTATTCACTGTATGTCACTGTATTCAGGAAGGCGGAGAACAAACTCAAATAACACGCCTTGTCTGTGCATATAGCGGTTGAGCAATTACTGATTTACCTCATGGTTCTCATGTCCCAGGAGCTCCGTCAGGACTTTCAGGACATGCTTGGCCTCCTCTGCGCATTTCTTCTTTCCTGAAACGTAAGACATACTACAATAAACACTGCGCTGCTTATAGTACATTTCTGTTTACTTTAGAAAATCAAATTAAAAAGTGCTAACAAAGTAAACAGAGGATTCTGAGCAACAATTTAATTGTTTATACATATCTTTATTTCTTTGATAAGCATTGATTAAAAGATCCTTGTGGCGGTGTATCTGTTACCTTGAGTGCGCAGGCAGAGGTTCATGAGGAGGGAGATGGCATATTCAAGCGTGTAGTCAGACAGACAGTCGGAGTCGTGGAGCTCTTTGACCAACCAGCCAATCAGACCGTCTCTGATCATAGCAGATTGCTGTGCTCGCCTGCACACAGCAGAATATTTAGAAACACTAGGCATTTTTGAGGCGTTTAAAACATGCTGTGTTGGAAATCCTTTACCAAATTTGGTGTTCCCAGTCAAAAATTGCTTATAAATTCCATTGTGAAACAATAATAATAGCTATTATCCGTTTAGTTGCACCTCAGCCATAAACCTATTTGGTAGCTGTATTGTTCTAAAAAATATATGATTAAACACACATTTGAGTCATTATTATTATTTTTTTATTTTTATTTTATTGGTATGTATTATTATTATTATTATTACTATTATTTATTTATTTTTGCGCTATATTATTTTAAATATTTTTTATTACTATTTTATATATTTTTTGCATTTTTCTTTTTTTATTATACCTAAAAAACTCTGTTGGTGCAGCTGAGTTTTACACACTTTTCTAAGTCTGTATGTTTATTAACATTTATTATCAAATGGCGTACCTGAGGCTGAGTTTCTGCAGTGCTGCAAGCACATTTTCTCGAGTTACAGACTCTTTCTCTTCAGTCTTCAGACAGTCGAGCAGAAACCTCAGTAAAGAGGGTATCTGAGACAGGTACATGCGTCCTGGGTGTGCAATAGTGCATGAGACCACGATAAACACATTTCAGAACTAAAGACAGAGATTTATACACAATTTATACAATGAAAGTTTTGTGAAAATTCTGCTCTAAGCTAATTGTCGCCTTCAGTATTCACTGTATGTCACTGTATTCAGGAAGGCGGAGAACAAACTCAAATAACACGCCTTGTCTGTGCATATAGCGGTTGAGCAATTACTGATTTACCTCATGGTTCTCATGTCCCAGGAGCTCCGTCAGGACTTTCAGGACATGCTTGGCCTCCTCTGCGCATTTCTTCTTTCCTGAAACGTAAGACATACTACAATAAACACTGCGCTGCTTATAGTACATTTCTGTTTACTTTAGAAAATCAAATTAAAAAGTGCTAACAAAGTAAACAGAGGATTCTGAGCAACAATTTAATTGTTTATACATATCTTTATTTCTTTGATAAGCATTGATTAAAAGATCCTTGTGGCGGTGTATCTGTTACCTTGAGTGCGCAGGCAGAGGTTCATGAGGAGGGAGATGGCATATTCAAGCGTGTAGTCAGACAGACAGTCGGAGTCGTGGAGCTCTTTGACCAACCAGCCAATCAGACCGTCTCTGATCATAGCAGATTGCTGTGCTCGCCTGCACACAGCAGAATATTTAGAAACACTAGGCATTTTTGAGGCGTTTAAAACATGCTGTGTTGGAAATCCTTTACCAAATTTGGTGTTCCCAGTCAAAAATTGCTTATAAATTTCTCATTGTGCTATATTATCACCAAATCTTGGATTCAAACTTCTTGTCAAGTTGTTCAGTTCTTTCAATTAGCACAGGTTTCGTATTTCTTTTTGGAACTGATTGATCCTATTGCGCTTATGCAAAGTGTATGTATAGTTTGAGCTTATGCGCTTATAGTTTTTGAGTGAAAAATGCATTATTTGGATAATTTTGGCAATATTCACTCAAAAACTGAGGTACATAAGCTCAGATCAATGAGGCCAAGGGATCAATTACTTCCTAAAATAAATACTTGAAAGAAAATAAGTTGATAAAAAATGAATCTAATATTTGGTAATAATATAGCATAACAAGATATTTATAAGCAAAAATGTTGTATGCTGGTCATTTTTGAAGAGTAAAAAGTGTACAATGGCAGGGGGGAAAAAAAACCCTGAGTAAAGTCAGTAAGTTGTAGTACAATGCAATAAAATTATAATTTCCAGGGGAAAAAAAAAATCCTCTTTGGGTCAAAATGATTGGAACACAACATGAGAGTTAAATATATACAGTATATATATATATATATATATATATATATACAGGTACATGCGTCCTGGGTGTGCAATAGTGCATGAGACCACGATAAACACATTTCAGAACTAAAGACAGAGATTTATACACAGTTTATACAATGAAAGTTTTGTGAAAATTCTGCTCCAAGAATTTTGAGAACTGAGAACCAGAAGTGAAATAAAATTTTACTCAAAACAATATCAATTGATCTAAAACAATATCAATTGATCAGTTTGTGCCATGAACAAAAAAAAGGTATGCTGTCAACAGTGACATCAACATGACAAATGTAGTGTAGCGACAAATCTATGTGACCAATATTAAAACGTGGGGAATTCTTTCGCCCTTAGGCAAAATTCTGATGCTTTCTTTCTTTACATGATTTGGCCAAACAACAATAAAAGTTTGATTTAGGGTGAGAAGTTTGATTCTATCCTGTACAGTTCGGAAGTTATGCAAAAAACTGTGCAAATTATAGCGCCACCTAGAGTATTGAAGGTTGGTGTGTTTATGATTAGTGAGTGGAATCTTATAGCATCCTGCCAAGTTTGTTTATTCTCTGATACACATAAAGGTCACATTAGCAATGTTTTTTTTTTGTATTTTACAAGCAAAAAATGTCTATTGACTCCTCTCAATTGTTTATTGAACACAGCAATCAATCCGTTGAATGTAGTATATGTATGTATGAATGTATAATGTAGAATAAAAAGTGTAGAATGTAGAGGAAAAAAAAAAAAGTATTTTGATTCTGTGTGTGTTTAGAATTAGCGGGTGGAATCTGGAACCATCCTATAAGTCCGTTTACAGTCCCTGACACAAATAGATCACATTTGCGAAATTTTCTGCAAAATTTTACACACAAAAAAGGTCCACTGTTTACAGTGAATAGCGTAGCAAATATAGCGATCGATGCATTGAATGTAGTGTAGCGATCAACGCGACCAATCCGCGTGACCAACCTGAACTTGTGTGGAATCGCGTGAATTCCTATTGGAATAAATAGAATTAACCTGTGAGAATTCACCGAATAATCGCACCTCAAGTTCGAAAAAGTAGGTTTTTCATAAAATGTTAAATGCACCAAAAAGTTTGAAGTGGAAATAAAAATCCACTTGCACAATTGATTCAGCGTCAGAATTTGTATACTAGCCTGTTACACAAAATTTTTGCACATTATAGCGCCACCTAGAGCGTCGGAGGGATGTGTATTTATGATTAATGGGTGGGAAGTCTGTTTCACAGTCTCTGACACACAAACTGGTTTAAGGAAGAAAAAGAAGAAGACTGGAACAAACAAAACCAGACTTCTCAGCTTGAAGTGAAGACATTTTTGTAAGGAATAATTTTCACTTACCATCACACAAAGAGGCAAAGGCATTGATGAGCCGTGCCATATACTGTCTGACAATCTCATTTTTGGATTTCATCAGATGAAGAACAGTTTTCTGTGAAGTAATCAAAACCAGTTACTCAGCTATTTTTTTTTTTTACTTCTTTCCTTGCTTTTTCATATGGCTTTTGGTCCAATTAGTTGTTCTTTAATGTGAAAAGGACTATTTTGTCTGCCTTCTAAGTTTATTCTGGATTTTAGTAACATGATATATTGTCTTTCAGCCTGCACAAAAACTGAAAGGTGAGCTAAAAGCATGTGTGACTCGACTGCCCTAAGGAACTTGCTGACAATGATTGGAAATTATGAGTCAAGAAGTCATGTTATCTGCTGAAACCTGATTCAGGTTCATTCTAAATACCTGAAAAAGACTGATGGTAAACATATTTTAGAAAAGAAATAGGTCACAGACAGCTCAAATTGTTTTAAATGTTTTAATTGTTGTGTTAAGTGTACTCATTGTGAACCGCAAAACAAAAATGTATCAAAATCTGGATAGAAATGCAATTTAAATATATTGGAATTACATAAAAGGGTCTATTTTCAAAACATTTTAGCCATGTATTTGAATACTATACTAAAATATTCAAATTTTACAGTGTATTCTAACACACACACACACACACTCACTCACTCACACACACACACACACACACACACACACACTCACACACACACACACACACACACACACACTCACACTCACAGTTTTAAATGTTTTAATCGTTGTGTTAAGTGTACTCATTGTGAACCGCAAAACAAAAATGTATCAAAATATGGATAGAAATGCAATTTAAATATATTGGAATTGCATAAAAGGGTCTATTTTCAAAACATTTTAGCCATGAATTTGAATACTATACTAAAATATTGTAATTTTAAATAGTATTTTCAAACTGTAAAATTATTCTGAGTGCAGTTTTCATACATATATATATATATATATATACAGTATATAAAACTCCCCGACGAGGGTTTTGTAATGTACCTGTTTGGAACTGTAGCGCTCCAGAAGATCATTGCTGATGAAGGCTTGCAAAACCGTGTCCCTTTGCTCACCATGTAGAGATCTGGTTAACCTCTGGAAAATAACAACAAAATTGGCATGCAATGTGAAAACCAAATTATGTGTCTCAATGTGTGTTCTAAAGGACAGAAAATAACTCAAAGATGGAGCTAAAACAACAAAAAATCTCCTACAAACTCTTCAGTTTAAAGGATTCACAACTGAATTTTGATCATGTACATGCTGCAGTAGTTTGTAGCGTGTTTGACCAATATTAACAATAACAACACACTGTAGTAATTATGGTATTGTGTCAGAAACGATGGGATACATCAGTGATGTGCTTAGCTTATTTACAGTAATTCTGAGTTACCCAGCGCAAAGCCTGAAGCAGCAAAGCCTTCAGTCGATCTGATCCATTCACTAGGTCTTTCTTCAGCTTCTCGTAGTCAAGGGAAGGCAACAGCGGCACGTCTTTGGGCCTCCTGACAGCAGGAAATAAAAGGATGATGAATCAGGGCACGAGATCTTGCTCATCAGGTTACTGATGGGAATCTTTCCATCTCTGGGATCATCATGTTTCCATAGTCTGGTTTGTTTGCATTTATAGAATTACTTTTGGATGATCTGACAAGTACAAGATGCTAAAGGTAACAAGCTATGTGAGATATTAATCAATTATGTCTAAAAATGTACAGAAAAAGTACAAAATTTGATAATTACACTTTTACCCTGGTTTCTAAACACTGTCTAAAATGCAATTACTTAATTCTATTCACAGCAATAGATTTTACAGAAATAAATCTGGATATTGGATTATTGTGAATAAAATAAAATAAAATAAATAATTTACAACATGTACTTACTAAAGGGTTTCGGATTGGTTTAGGCAAACTATGCAACTGACTTTACTGTAATTACTAGTTTTTACTACAGTAAGTACATGTAAAGTGATACAAGGACACTTTTTTGTTCAGGTTTTTTCAGATATTTTTCAGATTTCAATATATTCTAAAAATAGTAATAGGTATAAAAACAAGACACTGTAAACTTATCAAAATTATTGTAATTAACAGAAAAAATATTTTTTATAATATAATATAATATTTAATAGTTATATAATATAATTTATATAATAGTTTTTTTTAGGATACTGACAATTATTTAATTCAGTAAATCTTAAATCTGTAAATCTGCCATTAGAACATATTTAGGGGTCCTTGGTATATAAAAAAAATAAATAAATAAATAATAGAAATAAAAAATAGAAAAAAAAAATACAAATGAAATGTGTAAATAAATAAAATGTGAAAATCTGCGATCTATATCAAGTTACCAAATGTTTAGCAGACATACCTGCTAGGCAAGATGAGATTTTCTACTAATCTTTTTATCAATCTAAACAAAATAATAAATAAAACTTACTGAGGTGCGACTGATGCCCGCAGCATTGAGGAAGCCTAAACGAAAAAAAAAAAAAGAAATGTCATTTGAATCTTTTGAAACATTGGCTTGCAGATGAAAATAAAATGCCTGTGTGTTAGTGAACTTTTAGTTGGTGAGTATTCATGCTGTTGTAGTCATTAACTAGCATGCGTTCTACAACAGTTGCGAGCGCATATGCAGTGCGGTGGGGTTATGTGTACATATACATGCGATGAATGACCTCAAACAAATGAATACCCTGTTCGTAAAGCAGGGAGGTTGGGGGAGGGGGTTAGTGAGAGGAATTCCCCACGCTCATTTACTGCGCTGCACCTGCAGGATCTAATTTCTAACTGAGCCTAAGAGCGCGGCAAATTCTGGCATCTCAAAGACGCAATTAGAAGTCATTCCTTGGGGGAAGGTTACATCGAAACCCGCGAGAAGGCGGATCATGTGAGCACAAACTCAGGCGAGTGCTTCCCCATTACGTGGAGTGTGAGAAATAGTGATATCAGTCTGATTTAAAGTATGCGGGTAAGTTACGTGAGGCCAAATTTCCTGTCAAATATAAACATCCTTCTGTGAAGGGCTGTGTGAGTCATGCTAGTTTAACTTCAAACTAGTTTGAGGAAATGTTCCGGAGAGCCGGAGTTATGTATACGAACATGCTCAAGTTTGGCAAATCTTAGGTGTTTGCTCTAAATATTTGCTGTCCGTCTGCGCATGTGGATTTCACAATGACAAGGGTTTGAACATTATGAGTGTATCCTGGTCCAGAGAAGGATTACATGGTTTACATGTATGTCAAAACTATAAGGGCTAATTCATTGTTTTTTTTAATAAATAAATAAATAAAGCAATTGTACACTACCAATCAAAAGTTTGGAAACTATTTTTAAATGTTTCTGAAAGAATTCTCTTCTGCTCACCAAGGCTGCATTTATTTGATCA